GTCCCACCAGCCCGAAAGGAAGCTGTGTTCCTCCCGCTCCTCTCGCCGCTTTGTTCGGGTTTCCAGCCTGGCTGCCCTCCCGTCCCACGTCCTTTCACTTGTCACACAGCCCCGGAGCTCGGCCTCTCGGCGCCCTTCCACCCGCTTCTCTCCCTGCCTCCCCCACCTCCATCCTGACTCACAGCTTACAACATAAATAAACTCAGCACGTAAGTAAACAGAGGCAAAAGTGAAGAGCACAAATAAACTCAAAAATAAACCTCCCTCCTGGAGCTCCAAACCCAGCAGATTAGCATACCCTCCGGTGCCTCCCTGGGGCATCCAAACCGTCCCTCCTCTCCCTGCACACACACACACACACACCCCCACACTGCTTCCTGGCTAGTGCAGACACCCACAGTGAATTTTGAGGACAGGGGACGGCAGGAGACCAGGAGGTTGATGGCAGATAATAAGCAAAAACAATAATCCACTGTCTTTTACTTCTCAGCCAGTGTCATTCAGCTCCTGCCAAGAAGATGCTTTCATACTCAGCAATGCTAAGCTCAGCCTCATTTTCTCATTACCCTGAGTGTGATCAACTGGGCAGAGATAACGTGTCCTCCTGGCTGGAGGGAGCAGGCAGTCATTTCACAAATTCTTCTGCACAACCAGCTATTGTTGCAGGTAGAGGGAGGCCTGGGCAACTGACTGCAGGGGCAGCCCTGGGAACACGCAGAAGGGAGCAAGTTCAGTGCTGGCCTCGAGTTATGCCAACTGGACCGCTCCTCAGTAGCTGGAGTCTTTCTAATAAAAGCAAAAGCAGTGGTACCTTATTCCCTCACTTCTGATGTTAAAACAAATAGCCCTGCAGGAGTTGTGTTTCAGTGACACCCACTGACGTAACAAATCCTTTTTAGAAACCTAGATAGAAATCTGCTAAGAGCATTCAGAACTGCTGAGGCTGTACCCAAAAAAAAAAAAACACCACAAAACCCTGAGATCAGGCTGCAGCAAGTGGAAGTTGCTTGAGCACTGACTGCTTCCATGTCACCCCGCAAGGCTTTGGGGATGAGGAACCCCACTGATGTCACAGGTGTCCCCATGGGCCTGCCAGACTCCTAAGCAATCCTCTTCAGGCCACCTATGGCACCATTTAACAGCTCAGGTCACATAACCCCCCCATTAACCCGGCTGGCATCAATGCCCCAAAGCAGGGGGAGGGCAAGCAAGGACCCACCAGACCTCAGGACTGGGTTTGTTCATTCACTGCACCTCCACGGCGACCTTCACTCCACTCGCCTGCACTGCCCAAGAGCCACAGATCACTCCATCCACCACAAAAGGAACCCAGCAAAAACTCAGTAACAGCAACAAAGAAACGCCAGGGCGACCCAGCAGCACTGAGCCCACTCTGCCAGAGCGCATAAAGCAGCAGCTCAGGGCAGCGGCAAGATGCAGCCTAACAAAGTCACACAAATCTTTTACCTTGAGACTGCAAAGCCAATTCTCCTATCAAGCGTTTTCATAAATAACCCTGTAGGCTGCTGCTATATAGCTTACAAACAAAGAGGAGTCTGAAAAGCACAAGGTTTCCCCAGAGAATCAAGCCAACAGCCCTTGTTAGGGTAGGGGGGAACTGGAAAACAATGAAGCAACAAGTTGGGCATACACCATCTATCAAGTGCTGCTTGCCAGGAGACACTGAGCCTTGAGAGAAGGCTGGTCCTTTCAGGACGGGGCCTTCTCCTGCAAAGTTTCATCAAACCCTGAATTGGGATTCAAATGATTTTGTGCCATTTAACCCACGACTCACGGCAAAGCCTTTCTGCTCAGGAGGAAAAAGGTGCACGGAGGCTCCATGTGGTTCCACAAGATCAACCTCTCACCAGGCAAAACACCCCAAAACATCCGCCCCAGCCGAAAACCACGCTACGTAAAAAATAAAATGGAAGGGGGGGAAAGGATGAAAGTTCCTAACAAAGGAGGGGCCCTGGTGAAACTGGCCCATTCTCTGTGCCGCGCTGGCGGGGCGAGCAGAGCAGATGCAGCCGGGAATTTCAATGGCTGGCCGGTCCCCATGCGCCCTGCGCCACGAGGCCCTTCTGTTCTCCTGCAGCGCCCGCCCGCCCTGGCCCTGCCCTGCCTGTCCTTCCCCGCCCTCCCGGGCCACACGGTGGGCTGCTGAGTGGCTTTGCACCGGTGGCAGCGGCGGTTCGGGGAGAAGAATAGAGACCGTGGGTTTCAGCTCGCTCCCAGCCCCAGAACGCTTTTGGGATTAGTACTACAACAGACATCCATCACTTGCCTTTCCAAGAGGGGTCTATGCCAGCCCACAGACTCATGATGGGACTAGCTGAGCTGACACCGTGTTTACACAGGCTAGTAAAAAAAAGAAAAGGCGAGCAAGCCCTGGGCCTTCCTCAAAAGACTTCACCATAACCCTCCCCCAGAGCAAAACTCACTTTACATCACTCCTGAAAGAAGGAGGGCTGGGAGTCCTGGGGACCCAGCCTCGGCCAGGAAGACTGGGGTAGGTTTAACCGCGAGCTCCCGTGGGGAGGAAGGACCTGTGCACATCAAAGGGAGCGATCCAGGCAGTTAAACAGGAACAGACATAAATCCCGCTGCAACTCACACCATAAAGCCCAAGAAAGAGGGTCTCGCTCTCCTGCCCTCCCCCTTCTGCCAAGATAAAGGCTAGGACACCCGAGCCACGCGCTGGAAGAAATAAAGTTGTGCATTTGCACTCCTCGGCAGCCC